GAATAACCTTCCCTGGCAAGCGCAAGGGCCTGAGTTCAATCCCCGGTTCCACCAAAAAAAAATAAATAAATAAAAAATAAAAAAAAATAAATTAAATGCCAGCAGCTAACAGGGTCCTAAGGATGATTAAGAGACTTAGCGGGGTGTGGCAGCACATACCTCTACTCATTGTACTCTGGAAGGCTGAGGTGGGAAGACAGCAAGTTAAGCCCTGAAGGAGATTCTCTCAAAATAAAATAAGAGGAAAGAGGATGTGGCGCAGTAGGAAACAGTGCCAGACAGCACCCACCAGAAGACAACTTCAACAAAATTAGCCACTATAATTAAACTGCAATATCCAGAGGAAATGACAGGCAATTGAGACTGACACTTCGGTCTGAGTTTCTCACATTAAGAACTGTGTGGCAAGTGTTGAGTTACTCTTTCCCCATCAGTAACTTTTTTTTTTGGTCTTGAGAGACAGGGTCTCACCATGCACTTCAGCTGGACTTGAGCTCACTTTGTAGCCCAGGCTGGTCTCAAACTCACAAAGATCCTCCGTCTCGGCCTCCCAAAGGCTGGGATTACAGGTGTGCGCCAGCATGCCCAGCTAGTAACGAATTATTAAAAGATGTATTAGGCTCAGCAGGATGGCTCATCGGTCTAAAAAGCGCCTGCTTAGGCAAGCTTAGGCAGGCACAGCGGACCGCGGCTGATCCCCGTGCTGCACCAGCCCGCCCTCCGGTGGGCTGAGCCCGCCCCAAGAAAAAGAATGTATTAATACTTTTCCAACTTAGAAAAAGTGATTTGAGTTGGTCACTTTGATGCACTTAAGTTTACTGGTACACATAAAAACCATATTTATCATATAGAATTTGTACCTGTACATGATATACCTCTTTTTTTTTATGCGCTCTTAAGAATTATTGGGAATCACAAACCCCTTTAAGGATATGAGCAGTTATAGTGCTCGTTTCTCCAGGGGTAAACGCTCAGTGTTTGGCATACAACCCCAGCAGTCTACAAAACACTGAGACTCCATCGTCTCCTTGTGACTTGGTTAGGATAAACTGAAAGGGTGACTGTAACAACAAATTTTATAACTAAGATGGAATCTTTCAAATAGTAAGGCTCTAGAAAGCACGCCTGTAATTCCAGTACACTTGAGGCAGAAGCAGGAGGATCTCTGCGAGCTGGAGGCTACTCTGGGCTACAAAATGAGTTCCAAGCCAGCCTGAATAACATTGTGAGACGCCGTCCAAAAAACAAGACAAAACAAAAGACTCTAGAAAGAACCGTTACCTCCAAAGAAACGCTGTTTAAACCACAGTACCACTCTCGCCAATGTCCACAGCTGCTTGGAGATTTGGCCAGCACTACCACTGCATTGTCTGCAGAAACGCTAATCTCGGGTTCTTTGGTACTCAATTTATTCTCTGGAGCAAACTGCAACAGCAAGGAATAAGCTAAGTCTTGTGTGGAGAAGCTCAATTTGTACCGGAGGGGGTTCAGATCTCCTTGAAGGCTCTGTGGCTGAACCCCAGGCACTCGGACTATCAGGATCAGGGAGTCTTCGTCCTGATGGCACTGCACCGGAGGACACACAGGTTCCCGGCTCTGGACCGCGGGGCCTCCCATGGCTCGGTCCGAGCGCTCGCCGCCCGCGCCCTCCGCGGCTGCACTAGGCTCCTCGCACGCGTTCCCGCTTCCGGCCGGAGGCTCCACGCCGACGCCCTGGGACGAAGCACTGTGGATGCCTGCACCTGCGTCCTCAGCGGAGGTCCCCGCCGCAGGAGGCGCCTCTTTCTGCTGGCCCCACGGCGAGCCCTGCTCCCCAGAATCTAGGACCGGCTCTTCCAGGGCGCCACCAGCGGAGCTAACAGCGGAGCTAACAGCGGCGCTCCCCTCGTCACTTCCGGACGTGTCCGCGACCTCTTCCGGTGCCTCGGAGGGCTCTTCCGGCTCCAAACTGGCCTCCCGGCGTGCTGCAGACTGTGCCACCGGCAGTGTGACCACCAGCTGCCGCCGCGCCTTGTTGAACTGCGCCTTGCCACGACTGTCGTCCACCGGGTATGGGAGTGAGAGCCGCAGCCGGTAGTCGGGCTTCCTCGAGTCGAGGCACAGCAGCTTTCCCGAGACCTCGAGCGCCGCCTGCTCCGCCGAGCGCAGCAGCGGCAGCTCGATGGTGACCACCAGCTCGTGCGGTACGGGGCTGGGCGCCGAGTCCCGCGAGCAGCGGTAATCCTGGAGGTCCACGTGGTGGCGCTGCACCACGCTGCAGCGAGGCTCGGTGGGCACAGGCTGCGGCGACGCCTCGGGAGGGGAAGGCGCCGGGGGCTGCCGGCCAGCTGAGCTTCCTGCGGCCGCGGGGCGCGGGTAGGGATAGGGGAAGTCGGGGAGAGGGCCTTTCGGCGCCCCCTCCGGCCGGTCCGCGCCGCCCCCCGGCAGGGGTGTGCGCAGCACGGCGGCCTCCGGGGTTCCTTTGTACTTGATCTTCAGAGTCTTGGCGTTCCTGCGGTCCAGCTGGACGCGGAACTGCTGCTCCACCGCCTCCAGGGCCGTGGCGTCCAGCATCTGACGGAAGCGAGCGCGGCGCCCGGCCAGCACGAGCGCATCGGGGTGGAAGACCACGTCATAGACCGTGTAGCGGGAGCCGCCGCGTCCCGCGTACTGGCGGCCCGGCGCCAGGCTGTAGGGTAGGGACCAGTGGCTGCCGGACGTCGGGCCGGGCCGGCTGCTGGGCGCGCCCACCAGCGCGTTGCTGCACACGTTCACGTAGCAGCGCCTAGCCCCGTCCAGGCTGGTGCGCAGCACGTAGCCGGGCTCCGGGTGCACGAACCGGACCTCCACTCCGCGCTCCCGCTCCAGGGCGGTGATCTCCGCCTCGTAGCGCCTCCGGTTCTCCGGGTCCGTGATTTCCTGCGCGTACTCGGAGAACATACGCCGAAACTCCGGGTCTTGGAAAGCAGAGGTGAGCCGCTGGACCTCCTCTCTGCTCAGGTCCAAGTCCTCCAGCGAAGAGGAATCCGCCGTTTTGGCCATCCTGCCCCGCGATTTCTTGTCCTCGCCCCAGGGAGGATGAGCAGGAAGGAGCTTGTGTGGCTAGGATGCGCTAGGGAATCTCCCGTTAGTGCTGAGATGGGCCAGAGTCCTCCCGTTAGTGCTGAGATGGGCCAGAGTCTGTAACGGCTGCGGGAGCTGAGCCCTGGACAGCGCGTGCTTGTTGCCATAGGAACACCACCCACGTTGGGAGGAGGGGCAGCAGCTGGGTGGAAATGGTAGAAATAGCTTCATCATTTCTTCAGCCACCTAAGCTGCTGCGTTTCTTAGATTTCTATTTAAGTGTCGTAATTTTTTGTATTTCTGTTTCAGTGTTATAAGTTACAGCATTTTGTACACTTTGTATCATTCAGTGTTCATAACACTGTAAGATAAACATCTCCACTTCATAGGCAGGATCGGGCCTCAGGTCGCCAAGACCCCGTCATCAGTGTATTTACAATCTGTGATTCAAAACCTAACTTTCTCTACCTTTTTTCATTCTGCTAAACCAACAGTTTAATCTTAATTTTCTTACTTTCCATTTTAGGATGTTCTGACATTTTGTCCAGTTAAAACTTACTTGCTCTAAGTTTTGGCCAGGCTCATTGTAATTAAATACCACTTGCCAATAAATCTGTAAAACTTCGGCTTCATTAAAAATGAAAATGCAAATATGATACCCCACAGACCTACCAAAATGGCAAAGACTTGTTTACAATTATTGTGACCTCATGATGGGTACAGAATTTATAGTAGGCATACTTTTTCACCCAGATAGTTACTCTTAGGATATCTAACCCACTACTAAGAGCATGATTTTAGAAGTTTGGGAAGAATCTTTTTTTTTTGTGGAACCGGGGATTGAACTCAGGCCCTTGCACTTGCCAGGGAAGCGCTTACTCTACTGAGCCATCTCCCCGGCCCCTTGGGAAGAATCTTAAGGAGTTCAACAAGGGCAGATTTTGGTAGTAATGCCACAGAATTATATTCAGGATCCAGACTCTTGAGTTTCTATATCCAGCTGCCCATTTGAAGTTTCCATTGATGCTGAAGCCTCTGATTTGTGTTTAGGTGTTTCTGACAGTTACAGCTTTCCCTGAGCTCACTGGAGCCCAGGCTGGCCTCAAAGGCCAGGTGATACTCCTGCCTCATCTCCTGAGTGCTTAAATTACACATGTGTACCACAGGCACCTGGCCCAAGTCTTTTGGATTTTTGTTTTTTCTCTGACTTGAAAGACCAAAAATAGAATTTCTGACTGATCGAATCCCCTTCACTGCTCTGCCAAAGCAGGTGCTTTAATCCGCTGAGCTGTCTGGCAGGCCCTCTTGTTGCTTTTGCTGTTTTGCGTTGCAGTGAACTGTTGCCGTCTTCCACGTGCCACTCTGCCTTAGAGCCAGCTGAGTATGGACTGAAACCTCTACAAATTGCAAGCTGAATAAACCTTTCCTTCCTTAATTCTGGGCCTCAGGTTTTGTCCCAGCAATGAGAAAAATAACCAAGATACTACTGTAGTAGCACAAACATAATATAATCCCAGCATCCTGAGGCTGAACCAGGGCTGGGGATGTAGATCAGGCAAAGGTTCTGGGTTTAATTCCCACTACTAGCCCCCCAAAAGAATCCAAGTCTGTGCATACCATACTACTCAATAACAACAAATCACTAGTGGCTATTTGGAAATGCTAATTATCTTCAGTTCCTAGTGCTCTGAAATTTTATGTGTCATTATATGTAGCGACAGTTTAGGGCTGGGGGCTCTGAATACAAGGCCCACAGTTTTTGCGATACTTCTCCAAATCCTGTTCTATCATCAGAGTAATCCAAACATTCTCAAGTTTTCCATCCTCAAACCACCACCTCGTCCTTGCTACTTGATTCCCTTATCACTATGTTCATATTAAATTTCCTTCAGGAATTTTCCCTTCAGTGTCACTTTTATTCTTCTTCCCTCTCCAAAGCTAATTAATTCTCTCTGAGGGAAATGTCTTCCAGTTTGGGATTTAAAATTTGTAACTGTTAACTTCTTGTCATTTAGACTCATTTCTTTTTTTTCTTTTTTGCGGAGATGGGGATTGAACTCAGCCCCTTGTGCTTGCCAGGCAAACGCTTATTCTACTGAGCTATCTCCCCGGTCCCTAGACTCATTTCTGGACACTAACCAACTTCTTAAACTAAAATTAAGGGGAAGGAAATGAGTACACTACACAACATAGCACACATGGTCTTGTGGTTTGAAACTATTGGAAACAATCCGCAGTACACCAGCACTGTGAGGCCTAGTGCCAGGTGCCCTGGTCACAAGGGCAGAGCAGATGGGCTGATGCTGGCCCCACAGGAGTGCCCGCCTTACAAAAAGATGGGTGTGGCCCCTTTTATTTCTGGTGCAACAAAGATGGATCTTGCCAAATGCAGGCCACTTCATGGAAGACCTGTGATTCTCAGGACCAAAACATGCTCTTCATTATGAAACCCAACCTCCGGCATTCCATCATAGCAGCCAGATGGGCTGAGACAAAAGCCAATCAAAATAAATATGGGGCTTGGATAAGCATACAGCACTCACCTAGCATGCCAAGATCTTGGTTCAAGCCCCAGCAAGTGAACAGCACAACAAGAAGCCATGGAATCTTCCAAATATAAAAATTATGATTTAGGGATGCCATGGCACAGTGCCTGCCTGGCAAGCACAAGGTCCTGAGTTCAATTCCGGGTACCAAAAAATGACTTTAAGTTTCCATAACCCCATGTATAAAAAGTACAATTATGTAGTGTGTAACTGTATGTAGCCCGAAATAAAAGATTTCACAGTTGTGAAATTTTGTGACTTAAAATACTTAGAAAATTGCCTCCTATATTCTTAGGATTCGTACGACAATAATAATGTAAGTTGGAATGAAAAATGTACAGACTTCTAAATACTAAAATCTTGTGTTTTTCTTAAAATAAGCATTAGACTATGACTAGGATAAAAACAGCCGGTAGCTGTCACATGCTGTGTGCACAGTGTTTCTTGACACATAGTTGCCTTAAAGACTAGAGAATATTTTTCCTAAAAAACTTTATAAAGACTTGTGTTTGTTCATAACATTAAATTTCATTAAGCAAAACACTGGAAAGTCCACTGTAATTTTATAATTTAATATAGGAATTACATAGATATAAAGTAGAAAACATGAATCTTTTTCTTCAGATGCCTTTAAGAATCAAAAGCCTTGTAGTTTGCTGAAAATAGAAAAAAAAAGTATTTTAGAAACCTAAATTGTACATTTCTTTATATTGTAGCTAAACTAGGTCAGTATTTAAAGGCAAACTTAAATTTAAAAGGCAACACTGCAAATGTCTTATACCCCACTTCTGCTCCTCAAAAGCAGAATTTTTTTGTAAAGAGTCTAATCAGGGGCCAGGGAGATAGCTTGGTGGTCTTAAGTGCCTGCCTGGCAATCACAAAGATGGGAGTTCAGTCCCCAGTACTGCATGCCGAGCTGGCCATGGAGGCCAGGCATGGTGGCGCACACCTGTAATAGCAGCATTGGGGAGGCGGAGACAGGAGGATCACAGCATGTCTTAGCTTCGTAGCAAAACCCTGTACCAAATAATTTTTTTAAAAAAAGGTCTTGGGGCCAGGGAGACGGCTTAGTAGAATAAGCGCTTCCCTGGCAAGCACAAGGGTCTGAATTCAATCCCTGGTTCCGCCAAAAAAATAAAAAATAAGGTCTTATCAAAAAAGGGAAACAATAGTCTAATCATGTATAAGCATACATATATGTGTAACTTTAAAAAAAATTTACACTTTGTGTGTGTGTGTGGTACCAGGGATCAAACTCGGGACCTTACACTTGTCAGGCAGGTGCTTCTGCCACCAAGCTATCTTTCCAGCCCCCAAATTTAAAAATGTACATAAGTGGTAGAATATGATGATATATTTTTATTTTATACATTACAAGTCCTTTATGACTTTGAACAAATTAGACTTTTAGATATATGTACTTTTAGGGGACCTGCCAGTTAGCTCAGTTGTTTAAGTGCCTACTCATGCAAATACATTCAGGTGCAGGATATGACGGTTTGAACCCTACCTCCACCTGCCTTAGCAAACCTGCTCTTAAGGCAGGTTGAGCTAATAAAAAAAATTAAAAATAAAAAAACCCCTAGATATATGTACATTTAAGTTATTTCTTACCTTTTGATTAAAAAAACTACAATAAAAACCATACATACTTTCTACATAAGCTCAAGTATACCTTCAGGATAGATTCTTAGAAATGGAATCACTAGTGTATACATTTTAGGTCTTAATCTTATAAAAGTGCTTTTGCTAAAGAGTTTTACCATTCTTGTCACCAACTATGAGTGAAAATGTGTATATTCCTACCATATCACTAACTTCATGTTTTCAAATAAAACTATTTAGAAGTATGTGCCATGTTCCATAAATCTATGTTCATGTAGAAAACATGCTTTAAAATTTTATTTTATAGAGAGAGTACAAAATATATTAAAACAGAAAAAAATGGGTTTGGGGAGACAGCTCAGTGGCATAAGCATCGCACTGGCATGTGCAAGGTCCCAAGTTTGATCCCTAGACTGCAAAAAAGAAGAAGAAAAATTGCAAGTGATACAGAATTTCACTTAGCAAATATGCATTTCACAGTATTTGTTGCAATGCATAGTGTTGTCGTCCAACCAGTTATTCATATTACCATATATATGCATGCATTTTTATTATTATTATTATTATTATTTTTTTTTTGGTAGAACCGGGATTGAACTCAGACCCTTGCACTTGCCAGAGAACTGCTTGTTCTACTGAGCCATCTCCCTGGCCCCTGGATGCAAAATTGGAAGAAAAAAAAAAAATATAGAAGAAATTAAGAAAGGCTGGCCAAATAGCTCAGCAGATTAAAGCACCTGCAAGCAGGCACAGGGCCAGGGGTTCAATCCCCAGGCCTGCCATGTCAGCCCCACCACCAGGGTGTGCTGAGACAGCAATTGGGACTGGGCATGATGGCACACGCCTGTTATCCCAGCTCTTGGGAGGCTGTAAACAGGCGGATCACTACAAGTCCCATCTAGTAGTGAGACCCGAACCCCCTGTAGACCCTTCCCTAAAATACAAGAAAAAAAGAAAAATAATAATAATAAAAGAAACAATTGAAAACAGGAGACAAAACAAATTATCTGTTCTTCTCCACAGACTAGCGGAAATCCACAGTAGTTGTCCAAACCATCCTGTTTACATACATAGATGTATCTCTTTCCCCTACTCCATCTGTCCTTCCAACTCAGCAATTCTTTTCTTTTGAGTAAGTTCATTCCCTAGAAAACATTTTTTTCATATGTCACATAGAAAAAAATGAGCACACATGTATGGAAAAGGAAGTACACTGACATGGCTGGTGGTACCAATTCTTACTACACTCTGGTTAACACTAGTGTGTTAACAGTCAGCTGGTTCCACAACTAGCCAACAGATGGCCGTTAGGAAATATTAAATAGCATAAAGACCAGATTATCCTGAAATTTTTTTCTGTTCAAAAAATATACGTACTATCAATCTGTTTGATCCAGCACTAAAAGGCCTCTTCCAATCACTAATACTGAATTTTAGATTTGAGAGTATGTCTACTTTTGTCAGCATCAGAGGCTACAGAAGATAAAAGAACCAGCTCTGAGTTCATATCACCTACAAGACAAGTGGTATGCTAGAAACTTAGGAGGCACCGGCACCTAAGAACTGCAACAGAAATCTGAGAGAGGCCAAAAATACAATTCCGCATGGCTATTAAAAGAAATGAATCCTGGCATAATGGTGCACGTCTCTACTCCCAGCACTCTTGGAGGCTGAGGCAGAAGGATTACAAGTATGTGCCAGGCTGGGCATTTTAGGGACTTAGTGAGATCCTTTTTTTCCCCCTGTATTTAGGACAGGGTCTCCCTATGTAGATCAGACTCTTAATGATTCTCCTGTGTTCAGCCTCCCAAAAGCTGGGATCATAGGTGTGCGCCACCACGCCCAGTCTCAATCACCACCTCAGCAGGCCTTGGGGCGGGGGTGGGGGGATGGCACAGCATGCCAGGGATCGGGGATCAGTGAGCCTGGCTCATGTGCTCTTGCCTAAGCAGGTGCTTTAGGCTGCTGAGCTATCCGGGCAGCCCCTAACTTAGTGAGATCCTGTCTCAAGATTTTTTTTTAAAAGACTGGGGTTTTAGCTCAATGGGAAGGTCTGGGCTGCCAATCCATAGCACGTACACCAACAAAACAAAAAAAATGTGTCAAATTTCCAGTTGCAGTTTATTTCCTAATTCAGTTTTTGTTTATTTGTTTTTGTGGTGCCCGAGATCAAACTTAGGACCTTGCACTTGCCAGGCAGGCACTTATGCCACTGAGTGATATGAGACAAGGTCTTGCTCTGTAGTCCAGGCTGGCCTTGAACTCACTGGCCTCAAATTCACAACGATCCTCCTGTCTCACCCTGGGTTACGGGTATGTACTACCACACCTGGCTCCCAAACTCATTTTACATAAAAGAATATAAAAATGCTTTACAGAGATAAATGTAACAAAAAACGTAAAAGCAGGGGCTGGTGAGATGGCTCAGTGGTCTAAAGCACCTACTTAGAACAAGCTTAGCAAAGCACAGGGACCGCGGTTCAATCCCCAGCACCACATGCCAGCCAGCCCCGCCCCCTGGTGGGCTGAGCTGGCCACACACACACACACACACACACACACATAAATAAATAAAATTTTAAAAAAAAGTAAAAGCAGAAATGGTACCAACCTGACTGCACCTCTTTAGCAACTGAAGCAAAGGAAGGCCTAGATTTAGTTTTATTAAAATAAAATTTAAGTAAATTTCTCTTGTCCTAAGTGGCAAGAGTTCCCAGGAGTCTTCAGAGGGGACCAGATTTGGCACCTATGTATGTCATTTACCAAACCTCTGTTCAGTCAGTCAATTGATTGCTCCTGGCCACCAGGGACTTCATCCTGGGCCCGTGGAGCCAGTGTGGCGGAGCAACCAAGTGCAGACAGCAGAGCTGGGGACAGCGTGTGTCTTCACCTAGAAGTGTTTCAGCATTTTTTTAAGGATTTTATGTGGACCGGCTATAGTTACAACTGTTTAGACTTAAATTAGACGCTAGAATATCTGCCTTTGTGTTTTAGCACTGGGGAGTGAACCAAGGGCCTTCTTACTGTGCTCCATCCTTGGCCCTTGTAGATTTTATTCTGAGACAAGGTGTCATTAAATTCCCTAGGCTGGGCTGAATTGTTAAGTCCTCTTGCCTCCAGCCTCCCAGAGTTCTGAGATTACAGGCTTATGTCAGTACCAACACCTGCCATCTTTGTAAGAATTTGTATAAGGGTTGGGAAATTACTTCAGCAGCTTACATGCCTGCCTGGCAAGTACAAGGTCCTGAGTTTAATCCCCAGTACCAAAAAAAAAAAAAAAAAGTTTATATTCTAAGAATTAAGCAGTACCTGGAATATAGCTCAGGATAAAAGCTCATAGATGAATCTAAGATAAACTGTTCAAAAATTAATGTTCCTTCAGGGTGTGGTGGTGCATGCCTGTAGTCCCAGCACTTGGGAGGCCGAGGCAAGAGGATCACTGTGAGCTCAAGGCCAGCCTGGACTACATAGTGAATTGAAGGCCAGTCTGAATCAAAAAAGTCCCTATCTAAAAAAAACCTAAAAAAGAAAATACAAGTTGCTGGGTTCTATTGAGCAGCCCTTTGATGGGTTTGGAAATTTCCTTTTTTTTTTTTTATGTGTTTGGTACAGGGTCTCACTATGCAGCTCAGACTCGTAGTGATCTTGTTTTTAGCCTTCCTAGTGCTGGGATTATAGGCATGCGCCGCCATGCCCAGACTTTGTCTCTGGCTCAGTGTGCCCTGGGGGCAGGGCCACCTTCATTTTGATGAAATTACCCTACTGACCACCTTGGAAAACACTTTCACCAAGTAATCCTCATTTTCTTTCCCAGGATCTCCTTTCCACCTCAGCCCCTTCTGTCTCTCCACTAACACCCAGCTCCCTGAGACTCCTCTGCTGCTGGCTTGAAACCAGCATCTCAGCTTTGAGAATGAACCCCAAGGACAGCCAGCAGGGCTGACCCTGGAAGGATGGGAGTGTCCTCAAGAGTCAGCCTGGCAGAAAACCAGCCCAGCTCCATATTGGGCCTGAGACGTCACTCAGCGAACAGCTCCCTATTAAGCTCAACACAAATACAGTAGCAAGAACTTCACATTCAGGTCACACAGCATGGCCACAGGAAGTTCAGGCCAAAATATTTCTAGTCAGGCATTTAAAAAAAATCTCACAGGGCCTGGGAGATGGCTTAGTGGAATAAGCGCTTTCTTGGCAAGCACAAGGGCCTGAGTTCAATCCCCAGTTCCGCCAAAAACAAACAAACAAAAATCTCAATACACAACTATAAATCATGTTACCGAGCAGCAACACCAAGAGAATGCCCCTTGTGGTTTCTGTGTGCACACTTACCTATCTTCTACTGTCTTGTTGGAAGGGTAAAAAACTTTGAATGAAAATCCACTTCTTGGAAAAGAGCCCTTTTGGGAGAAAAATGCTTGTTAAATGACTTCTCAACTTTTATAAAATAACTTCTATCTTTTAAATCAAATTCTTTGGTAATGACTTAAAAAGTTGCAAGATGTGACCATAAAATAATGTGACAAGGGGGGCCTGCCCGTTAGCTCAGTTCTTTAAGTGCCTGCTTCAACAAAGCAGTCAGGCTCAGGTTGCCGTGGTTCGATCCCCAGAACTCAAGCCAGCCAAACCTGCCCTGAAGGCATTCTGAGCCAGCCAAAAAAAAAAAAAAAAAAAAAAAAAAAAAAAGTGACAGGTTTTTAAATGATCTTTACAGAAGAAAGGTTGTTATTATAAAATACCTGCACTTAGACATGTCCAAGGAATATTGCAATGATTTGATCCCTTTATGAATCTTGTGATAGATGAGTGTGTGGAGATGGCAACTAGTGGGCAACAGAACAGCACTGGAATGGTGGTAATCCGAGGAAATAGTATCAGCACATTGGAAGCCTTGGAATGAGTTTAAATAATAACTGCTCAGCAGAAAAATTCACGCCCTTTCTCCAAGGCCTACTTTCACTGACTGAAGGTTGGGTCATACATTTTCATTTACTAAATTTTTGTTAAACTTTTGTAATAGTCAAAATAAAATACCTGCACTTAAAGCAAAGCAAAAGACTTTTAAGTTGGCTAGATACTTTATTACAGATTTGATTAGAAATTCTTAAAAACGGCTCTTTTTAGCATAAGAAATAAATAATAGTGTATAATGCTAAACTTGTATCTGAGAAACTCAAAATTTAACATTCGAGTCTTCCTCCCTCTTCCCTCAATGAAATTCTGGGCTTGATGCCCCTCCAGTGCACCTCCAAATCAGGGGAACAGTAAGCACATGTGCTGTCTACTGTGAAACTCTCAGGTCATTGAGCAGAGGGTTGGTCTCTCCAGCCTGTGTATCTGGAGCCCCCGACTCAGGGTCCGATCCACAGCAGGCCTTCATTTACATGAATAAGTACCAGGAAGTAATGAAGCAGTATCAGAAACAAGTTCTGTGTTTGCCCAAGAGGTATAAAACTAGCAATGATGCTATAGTAGGTGGTTGTTTACTCACCAGATTAAAAAGTGGCAAAGTCCAGAAATAAGGCATATTAAAACAGAGCATTAACTAAGAGAATGCCCAAAGAATTAAATAAGGAAGTCAGTCTGCTGTGGCAGGGTACAGTCTCTCTGTCACAACTGGGGGATACTATTGTCATCTCATGGGCAAAGGAGAAGGAAGCTGCTATACATCCTACCATGGTCAGGACAGCTGCACAATGCATTGTTTGCTCCAAGAAGACAAAAGTGCTAAGGGTTATAAACCCTGTCTCAGAGGAAACCAGACAAAATGAGTGTTTGACAAAAGAAGTCATTGGTAACAAGGCATGGCTGTTCTAGAAATGATGCAGATTAAACAGTCTAAAACAGGGACCAAGGCAACATCCACTTTAAAAATTGTGAGTGGAGCCGGGGAGATAGCTCAGTAGAGTAAGTGCTTGCCTGGCAAGTCCAAGAGTTCAATCCCCAGTTCTGCCAAAAAATAAAATAAAAATCATGAGTAAAGATAATTATTTTCACATAATCAACTGTTTATGCCATTATTTATGCACTGTTTTTTCTACAAATTCAAGAAGTCAGTAATTTCAAGGTTCTACATAAAAGTAAAATGTGTCAGAGCAATCCGAAAAGATATAACAATCAAATATATATGCAACGAATACCATTGTATCCAACTATATAAAACAAGTATTAACAGGCATGGAAAAATTCAGTTGAACACTAATACAATTGTACTGGGGGATCTCAATACCCCACTGTCAGAAAAAGATCAACGAGACAAAAAATCAGCAATGAAATATTAGAACTGAACTGAACTTTTGAACAAATGGACTTAGATGTCTAGAGTGGTCCACACAACATCAAAACACACATTCTTCTCAGCTGCACATGGGCTGTTCTCTGAAACAGACTACATACTAGCTCACAGAACTTGCTTAAGGAAATGCAAAGGAACTGAAATTATCCCATATTATTAGACCACAGTACAATGAAACTGGAAATCAATGGCAAAAGCAATCACAAAAATTTTACAAACATGAAAATTAAGCATCACCCTTCTTAACCAATGGGTCACAGATGAGATAAAATAAGAAATTATATAGTTTCTACAATTAACTGATAATGGAATTATCATTAAATGATAATTACAATTAAATAACAGAATATAATATAATGAAATTTATGGGACACAATGAAAGCAGTCCTAAAAGAAAAAATTATAGCAGTAAATACCCATATCAAGAAGACACAGCAAGCACAAAGAACTTAATGGTGAACTTCAAAACTTCTAGAAAATGAAAGGTGAAGCTAAAAGTTGGTTCAAGGGAGAAAATTTCAAAAATCAGAGCAGAAATTAACTTACTGGAGATTAAAACAATACAAAGAATCAATGAATCAAAGAGTTGGCTCTTTGAAAGATTAAATAAAATCAACAAACCTTATCAAAAAAACAGAAAGACTCAAATCCACAATTAGGAAAGAAAAGGTGAAATCAAAATCCACCCTGCAGAAATCCAGAAGATCATCACCTACATCTACTTTGGAAACTTATATTCTAATGAGATAGAAAACACAGAAGAGGGCCTGGCAAGATAGCTTAGTGGTCTAAAGTGCCTGCTTAGGCAAGATTTCGCAAGCAAAGGGATCATGGTTTGATCCCCTGCATCACATGCTGTGCCAGCTATAGCCCCGGGTAGGCTAAGCTCGCACACACGCACACACACACACACACACACACACACGAAATGGACAGATTCCTAGACACACATGAATTATCAAAGCTGAATCAAGATGTATATTATATCAACCATTGAAATCAAAGATATAACTAAAAACCTAACAACAAAGAAAAGCCCAGGCCCTGACAGATTCACTGCTGAATTCTGGAAATTTACACAGGATCTACTTCTCAAATTCTTTAATAAAATTGAAAAGGTAGCAATACTCCTAAAATTTATTCCTGGAAGCAAGTATTACCTTGATACAAAAAATGCAGGTCATAACTAAGAGAACTACAGGCCATTCTCCCTAATAAACAGATGCAAAAATCCTCAAGATACTGGCAAACAAAATGCAGCAAAACATCAAAATTATACATCGTTGGGCAGGCCAAATAGCTCAGCGGACTAAAGCGCCTGCTTAGGCAGGTGAGGGACTGGAGTTTACCCTGGGGGCATGCTGAGATGGCCACTGAGACTGGGCGTAATAGCGCTCACCTGCACTTGGGAGGCTGAAAACAGAAGGATCACTAGGAGTCTGATCTGCATAGTGAGTCCCTGTACTAAAATACATTAAAAAAATTATATACCATGACCAAACTGGATTCATCTCAGGGATGCAAAGATGGTTGAACATATATACATCAATAAATTTAATACACCATGTTAAAAAAACCAAGGACCAAAATTACATGATCATATCAACAGATGCAGAAAAAAGCTTTTGACAAAATTCAGCACTAACTTATGATAACCACATAGAAAATTGGAATATGCTGGGTGTGGTGGTACATGCCTGTGATCACAGCACTCTGGATGCTGAGGTAGAAGTATCAATGCTAGTTTGAGACCAACCTGGGCTACAAAATGAGCTAAAGGCGAGCCTGAACTACATACTGCATAGTGAGACCCTGTCTCAAAAAGTCAAAAAAAAAAAAAAAAAAAAGGAAGGAAGAAAGGAAGGAAGGAAAAAAAAAAAAAAAAAAGGAAGGAAGAAGAAAACTGGAACAGATGGTCTTTATCTCAATCTGATAAATACTGTCTGTTATGTTTTATGTCTAGTTGTTCCCCCAAAGCCTCATGCACGCATGGGGTGGCTTCTGGATTGTTCTTTGTGACTCTTCATCCAATGGTGGAGTTGTGGCTGTGTGTGCTATACCCTGGCTGTGGGGTGGGTGATCTGCATTACAACGTAAAAAGGAGAGGGGCTAGGTGCTTCTCTCTTTGTTTTTGGTCTTTTCTGCTGCCATGGAGGGTTGCGCTCTGTCATGTGCCACTCTGCATTGGAGCCAGCTGAGTACAGACTGAAACCTTCACTACCCTTCCTTAATTTTGAGTGTTTTTGTCCAAGAAACAAGAGAAAAATAACTGAGACAGAATTTGATACCAGGAGTACCAGTAGCAGGGTCATTGCTATGTCTAAACCTGACCATGTGGATTACAAGCCTTTGGGAATGGCTTATAGGAAGAGATAGGAAGGGTTTGGAGATGTTGTCTACAGGAGAAGCGGTGGAACAGCTTCAGCTGTTCTGTATGGGGGATTTTGGTCAGAACTCAAAATAGCAAAAGGCTAATATAAATCCTACAAGAGGTTTCTTCTGGGAAGAAGGACTGCATTGGTTGTTGGACTCCAGATGGTGTGTGTTATGGCTTAGCAGAAAAATGTGTCTGCATTTTGCTCATGTTCGGAGACTTTGCCTGAGACAGAGATTAAGCGTGGCGGACTGATTAATCTGACAAAGGAAACTTCAATGTAGTCAAATGTTGAGGCAGTGGCATGGATGTTGGGGCTTTTAGTCAGATTTATGTAGAAAATAAAGACCAAAAACCTCAGCAACATGATTTAAAATGTGAGTGGCCAGAAAATCAGCTCCAATACAACCATGGACTGCAAAAAGAGAGCTGAGATACCTGTTGCTTAGGAAGAACAGGAGAATAGAAAAGATGTCCTGAGGGCATCACAAGAGACCACAGAGGGGCCGGGGAGATGGCTCAGTGGAATAAGCGCTTCCCTGGCAAGCACAAGGGCCTAAGTTCAATCCCTGGTTCCGCAAAAAAAAAAAAAAAAAAAAAAAAAAAAAAAAAAGAAAAAGAAAAAGAAAAAAACAAGAGACCACAGGTTTCTACCCTTTGCAGCCTCAGAACTGCAGGGGTGAGGGAGTTTGCTTTAAGGAAAGTTGCAGAACACTTCCAGAATGGAGGCAGCAGCCACACCAGTTTTAAGAATGATGGCAGCATAGAGAATTTGACCCTCAGAATCAGAGTCAGAGTGCTCAGTGATCTAGGCACTCAACCCCTGCAGCCAAGAAAAAAAGCCTGGCTAATGCTCCAGCTGGAAGCAGACCTTGGCCTCATCCACATGGCATTGGTTTTAGGTGCATGCAGAATGCAAGAGTTGTGAAGTTAAAAAGGCTTCCACCTGGATTTTAGAAGACCTGAACGGCCAGGCTGTGTGCCCTTCAGAGTGTAAAGCTATGAGTGAGAAGCGCATTTAGTGAAAACCCCAGAAGTTTGGGAAAGCCAAAAACGTGGATCCAACGGAAGCTGCAAGAAAGAAAAAAAAGCTGGCCTATAGGAGCTACCAATATAAATGCCACAGAGGTAGAGCCATATAAAGCTCACAATTTGCCACAGATCGTTTCAGATGTTCCACATGAAACTACAGGATTTCATGTTGGCCCTTCTGGATTTTGGACTAGCTTTGGTCCCAGTACTTTGTATCCCCCTGTTGTGTGTACCTTTTAAAATGGTAATATTTATCTTGTGCCATTAAATGTTAGAAGTATTTAACTTTTCATCTGTACAGGGGCTTACAGCTAAGAGTTTGCTTTAGATCTTACAGGAAACTTGGAACTTAAGACTTTTCAGCAATGCTGAAACTGTTAGGACTTTGGCAACTCTTAGAGATGGATTAAAATGTCTTCTGCAGGGGATGTGCATGAATCTTTGGGGATCCAGGCGCGTAATGTTATGGTTTGTGTCTAGGTGTCCCCCCCAATGCCTCATGCAGTCATGAGGCAGCTTCTGCAGTTTGTGCTTGATTCTTGATCCAATGCTAGGATTGCATCTGTGAGTGCTACACCCTGGCCCTGGGGTGGGTAATCTGCATTACAATGTAAAAAGGTGTGGAGGACCACCTGAGCAGCTCTCCTTGAAAAAAGAGAGCTCCTTGTCTCCATTTTGACTGAGCCTGACCTATTTCCTCATATTGTTCTGTACAGAGCTGGCTAGGACTTCTGTTTATCCTTCA